GTTTATTAATATTATTTGTTTTTCGACATCATATCGTACTTTAAGTTAGGTTAAATCTATGTTGCAACAGGTCTTTCGGCATTTCTGTTTCGGCTTTCCTCCTGATTGGGAAGAATGTGGAACCAAGTTTCTGAATAGTAACTGTGAAAGCGCGGCAGAGCCTCCGGTGTCTCAAAATGAATGCCGGCCTCTTTTCTTATCATTGCCAGTAGATGATGGTGTCAATAATTTGAAGAATGATGACTCAAAGAATCTTTCACCACTATCGAGATGTCGTGTAAATGATGTAAGTTGGGTGAAAGATAGTGTGGTGGTCCCAGCAAAACCTTCTGGTCACCATGTGGATGTGGCACTATCTTCTGAAAAGATAGGCAGCAAGAAAAGCAAGACCAGGTCCTTTGGAAAGTTGATGGCTAAAAGGTCAAGTAGTTTAGAAAGAATCAGCATCAAGAATGATGCATCGGGGGAATGCTCAGCACTCACGGATTATAATGTGGGCAATATCACTAAATCAAACTTTGACCAGACACTGTCTGTTAGAACTTCAGGTGTGGTACTGGCTGTATCCTTAGAAGTGATCTCGAGTTTAAAGAAAAAGGAAAGGGAAATAAAGAAAAAGAAAAGGGAAAATGAGGGGAACAAGGATGGACTGAAGAGTGGAAGTGATTTCTCAATGCCATCTTTGCCTCAAGGCCCTCAGGTTATGCTAAGATGCATTGAAAATAATACTACACCAGGGCCGTCTCTTTCTAGATCTCCGACTCGGGGAGATTCTGATATTTTAAATCAATCTGATAAATGTCTCGTGAAAAACTCTGTGTTTTCCAGCATGCGGTCAGGTGCGGAAGCAAATATCATTAGTCCATCCATGGAAGAAACAGAGACATTGGATGCTAATCTCATTGATTCTGGACATAGGAAAAGCACTGCCTCTGTGACAAATCTGATAAATATACCGATACAGAAATCAGTCTCTGGACATTCAGTGAGGTACAAAGCCAAAAGGTTGAAATCAGTTGAAGGTAAACCGAAGAGAAATTCAGGCACAACTCTTGATATAGCAGAGGCAATGTTGAGAGCTTCAACAAAGATGAATACACTGTCAGGAAATTCAAAAAGTAAAGAGTAGAAAGAAACAATAGCTGTTGAGAAAGGAGGTTTGTCCATGAAGCAAGCTAGAAGGAAAGTTATTTTTGATGCCGATGTAAGCTATTCTGATTTTTTTTCATGGTAATTTAGTTTTTTTCCTTTCCAAATGTGCAAATCCTCAACATTTATTTTTAATGTCCACCTATTCATAAATCATAACCAGTTACAACTGGCCTGACTTTATGTTTTATCATCTCCATCTTAAAGATAGCTGTTCCCCCAAGAATTCAAGTGAACCTGACTTTATGTTTTATCATCTCCATCTTAAAGATAGCTGTTCCCCCAAGAATTCAAGTGAATTCCTTCTAAGTTTCTGATGTTTTCTTGCCCTCATCACTTGAAAAATGTTCTCAAAAGAAAATTGTAGATATCCTGATCGTTTTAGCATCTGCCAGTCTACCATTTCAAAATAAAGGTTAACATTTTGCCATTTATGTTGGGTTTCTTTTTTGCTTAGTTCTTTATTTAGATTAGACTTGAATATCACCTTTTTTTGGTAATTGAACCTGCTATTATTAGCTATTAGCTGATAGAGCTTTTTATGATCTGTGTTTTTCATTTTCACTTTCGCATGGCACTAAAATGTCTGCCTCAAATTTTATCATTATTTTTTAACACCTTTTTAGTCTACACAAAATACTTGTTTTTAATTTGTCTACCTTGGTAAATTCTTGTAATCAGATAAGAGAAATGACAACATGTATTCATTCTCCAGAATCCTTGAATCTCAAAAGATCCAGATCAGGTTTGTTTGCTATTTTTTTGTAGTTTATTCCTGGTTTATGAATTTTTATACATGAAACATTACAGAAATATGATCTTTTTATGGCCTTTATGACATAAAGATCAGTTTTCTGATTTCAGGAAATCAAAATGAGATGTCTTGTTGCTTATGTTTTTGCAGAAGCTATTTGTCAAACTCTTGAACTGTTTTAGATGGCCATTTCTGAGCTCATGGTTTTCCCCATGTTTGAGAAACCCAGTGATGGAAATCATCTCTATGGAGGGTCTGTTAATATATCTTCTGTAATATGATTCACCAACTGTTTAATTAATTTGTACATGTTGCAGGGAGACTACTTTTACCTACCCTAGATTTCTGGCGCAACCAAATTCCAGTTTATGATGAGGTTAGTGGTATCTCTGGTATATTCCCATTTTTGCATTTTTGGATTGTGATAGCACCTGTTCAGACTTGGCAAACACTGTCCATTAGTTGAACACATATGATATGCTTGAGGATACTAAAGTCCAATTTGCAGATATTGTTTTCTGCATTTAACTCTTAGAGAACGACATATATAGGGTAATATTTTGGGACAGGCATTATGGACATGACAAAAAACACTTTGGGGAGTGTTTTTGATACAGTCATTAACATTGACACGTATCGAAGCTTTGTGATACATGCAATTGTCATTTATGATACAGTCATTAACATTGACACGTATTGAAGCATTGTGAATCTGGTAAAACATGCAGAGTTTGTTGAGTTTTTATAATTAGCTTCACTTGGTCAAAAGTTATGTGTGAAACAAAGCTGTGAAGAACGATTTGAATTTGTCTACAGTAATTGACTTTACAAGAACTGATGTTGTAGGATTGTAAGATTCATTTTAAGGGGTGAGTGATTGGAGGTGATTGCTCTTATCTTGTCATTTCAATTCAGAAACATTTTTTTTCATGGTTCCTGTCTTATTTTCATTACCCATGTCTGTCTCTCCGCATAGATTCCAAATGTTCATTAAATGTATGTTTATTGAACCTCATTAAATCTTTAGGAAGTACACACTTCTAACAAGTTTTCTTTCTGTCACTGCCCTCTCTTCTACCCCCATGGTTTCACAAGGATGATGATACATTAAGGTTCCTTTTGTTTCAGAATCGTAATATCACTGGAGTTCAAGAAGAGCTGGGTGTAGTCGAACCATCTAGAGGTTGGTCTTTTATTTAACTATAGAAGAATTGGTGTTTTTGATTCAAAAAAAAAAAAAAAAAAAACCCTGAAGATTTTTAACTGTACTATGGTGAAAGTAAAGTTTGGTCGGTTATGCAGGTTTTTTTTAGCTAAAAGAATCACTGCTTTTGTACTTTCAAATTTTCTACTAAAGTATTGGATTCAAATCTTGTCCTTACAAGTCAATTGTCATGAAGTGATTATCTTCATTTCTATTTATTCCATTCAGTTATAGAATTGGGTTTTCTAATTGAATGTATTTGCCGCTCATTGCATGGCATACTTTGTCCTCAGGGGTTGAATCTAAGACTCAGAAGAGCAAGAGAGAGTAAATAAAACCACAGTTTCCTTTATCTAGGGGCAATCAATAATCACCATGGAGCAAAGCCATTAGTTTGGGAGGGGAGGAATGGAGATGGTGATGGGAAACAAAGGGCTAAAGGAGGTAATTGTTGTAATGATGAGGGATTAAGTTGGTCTCTTCAGAATTGGCATTAGCACCCAATCTAGGATCTTATTTTTGTCATATGCAACCGTTTGTCATGTTTTCCTATCCTCGAACTGGTCTTTCATAATAGTAGTTTTTTATTTTTATTTTTTCTGAAAATCTGATCCAATATAATTCATAGTTCCATTTCCTCCCATCATTTTTGTTTTTCCTCTGAAGGATTTCTTTCATTTTCTTCCTTTATCCAAATGGAGAGACAATTATAATCTTTATTCATTCATTCAACTTCAAACATCAAGGGGATCGTTTCTTTAATTGGGTTCTCAAACTAGAAGTTCCTCCGATTGGGTTTCTGAAGTTTTAATCATTTCGGAATTGAGTCTTCCTTCCATGTCCGTGAAAGCTTTTTCTATCTAAACCGTTTATTTTATGCAATAAAATTGGACCTCTTTGAGAGATTTTGGCATATCCTATTGCAAATTTCTGATAATTTCGGGAGAAACCCAGTTACGGAATCCTTGATCTGTTGGGAACCAAATTAAGAAATTATTTTGTTCATGGACCACATTGAAAATAAATAAATCTGCATATGGTGGTAAATGCAGATTGCACACTTTTGCATCAGAGTAAGCATCAATAATCTACCATCAAACTAGGTATGAAGATTAGTTAGAAGAGCAAGGCAGATGGCAGAAGGCACAGCTTTTGGTACGGTGCAATTGCTGGTTGATTTCCATGCTTACTAAAAGCATAAATTTTTGAAGATTAGTTAGTGATCTCTTATTCTCTACTCTTTTTTTTTTTTTTACCTTGCTAGAGCTTCTACATATAACATCATTATCATATTTGAATAGCTGAAATAATCTTTCATTCAAATGAAGAATTATTTTTTTATCATAGTGTCCAGGTCTGATTTGAGTGAGGGCTGGGGTAACTAGATCACCAGGTTAACCCATTTATCATCATGTCAATCTGAATTTTTTTTTCAAAATGATTATGTTTTAGTTTTTTTTTTAAAAAAAAAATCCTTAATATTGACTTGATTAGATTAGGACTGAGTTACGTCAAATCAATCAAGTAGAATCAATCAAGTAGCAAGTTCATATATTAGATCACTTAAGTTTAGCTGAGTTAATATAATTATCAATTCAAATGTTAGATTTTGAATCTCAAATTTGCAAGGTCAATTTGTTAGGCTAGTCGGGCTTTAATAACTATGATTTTTACAAGGAAAAATGCAATAAGTTGGGCGTTAACAACTATGTTTGTTGTTTTTGACAAGTAAAATTGTAAAAATGCATCGAGAGAAAATGGAACTTAATCTTAAGAAATCCAAACTTTATTATTATTATTATTTGAAGAAATCTAAAATCAGAAATTACTGTAATGATACGTTTATGAGTTTCAAAGGCCTAGGGAGAAATTCTCTGGCTAGAAGCTGGAAATGTAAAAGAGGCATCAATGTCCTTGCCCTTCAAGAACTTCTATTTCTTTGGATTGGAGTTGTAATTTGGTTCTTGACGAGGAAAGAATCTGACCCCAATAGTGATCATTCTGATCGACAACATCGCTTCTGCTAATTCCTTCTGAGCCTCCATTGTTTTCTGATCACAGTCAGCATAAAACTAACGTTAGATGCTATTTCCAGCAAAACCCATTAAGGCAGGGATAAAGTCTAAGGCGGTACCAGCTAGAACTGTAGCATACCTGGCAGCTTTACTCGATGATCACTAGACGAGTCCACTGTCCATCGTCTAGACAGGGTGATGCAAGTGATTTCGGCAACTGCACAGCATCGGCTTCGCCACAGCTGTCCTGATGATCACTAGACGAGTCCACTGTCCATCTCATTGGAACAACCAAATTCCTGCAGCAGAAATGGAAAAGTGATAGGCAACATTTTGAATCCTAAGAATAAAAAATATCTTGAAATCTTTGCAGTTAACTTACCCCTCCATACATTTGTATAAGCAGCGATTCATCTGCTCCTCCGTATAATTCCGAAACAAGGTGTCGAGACGCGGTGCTAGTATTGGTATATCAGATGATGGTAAAATATCCCAAACCTTCAAAATTTGAACGCAGAATGAGTTTTCCTGCAGAATGTCCACAGTCCAGATCATATTTAGCTGTCCATTAACATTATACTGCTCTATCAGTGGAGAAGAAAGGCCATTGTGAACCATTAGGCTTCTGTTCTTGCGAGACTGATGCTGACGCCAACCATTTGAAAGCTTGGCTAGTAGGGGAAGCACTTCCTTACAGATTCTGACATTCCTAACTCTCGCCATGGATCTCCGAAAATCATCACTGAAAAAAACCTGTATTAAAGTGAAGGTAACAGCTAATTAATACTTGGCACCGGAGCATGACATTACAGTGGGCTAAGAAGCAGTAATATCTGTTCTGAAGAATGGCTCCAGTTCCATGGATCAGCAGAGCAGCAACTATTGTATATTCTGTTAATATTTCTGAAAAAAATATTCAAGACTTGCCAAGAAATAATAAGCTCACCATCCATCTTGCATTCCGGAACAATGGAGAGTGAGTTTGTAGTAGAACATCAAGTCGGCCATGCTCGATCAAGCTTTCTGTAATAGCCTGAGCCAAACTCTCATCCTCTTCAGCGTTATAGAAGCATTGCCGATGCTTCGCATCGTTGACTATCTTCTTCCAAATAGAGCCACTCCTAACTAAAGTTGCTTCATTTCCTAAAATCCAGAGGCAATACCTCCACGCCAGAAAATATAAAAGTTCAAATAGGAATGGAGAGACAAAAAAAAAAAAAAGGAAACGAAACTTTTGAGCTGCTGATGTTTTCTCGATTCTTATGTAGTACCTTGCACGAGTCAGCGCCACATTTGCTCGTCGAGGATTCGAAACAAAACCCACCGATCCGTTCTCATTGCTTCGAACAGTAGAGATAATTATCAGATCCTCCTCTCCACCCTGAAAACCATCAACCGTGCCAACACTTACAGAAAAGGCACTGTCAGAATCTGAAATGAATTTCCCAATCTTCTCTTGAATTGCATGAACTTGAGCCTGGTATGGTGATATGATACCTATGCTAACCTTCTTCCCAGTGCCATTAATATCTGTAACATCAACATGAAGTCAAAAGAATTCTGTAAATCTATAGATACATCAGAAACATCTGATATTTCTAAATAGAACCTTTGAAAAGTCTCCCAACTATATCAGCAGCAGCAGCAGCCTCGACTGTATTTTTGAAACTCTGTTTCTCAACAAATTCCTCTTTTCCATGGGCTATATTTATGAAAGAGTAGGATTCAAACATGTCTCCTTGGAGGAACCGTCTCCTGTAGCCAGTTTCTTTGACGTTTGGCGCATCCAAAACCTGCTTCCCATAGAACTCCGTATTCGGAAATAAGCTTATTGATGGATGCATTCGATATTGAATGTTTAGAAGATGGCTCTTGCATCCCAGCTTTACGAGCCTCTCAAACAAACTTCTACCAAAACCAGCCTTCTCTGAAATCTAATAGTGGTGCGTTTTAAACATGTTACGGTATGAAAAAGTAAAAGGTTTTGATGGCATCAAAAGATAGAGGAATAGAACCATTCAGGAAATCCAAACCTCGCTATTAACGATGGCAGGCAATTGCTGTTCATCTCCTATGAGAATAGCATGGTGAAGGCCGGAGAGTTGTAAGGGGATGGTTGATTCACATTCTTTGAGCTGAGCAGCTTCGTCAATCACCAAGCAACGCAGAGGTGCCATTCTTATACTATGCAGCCTGGCAGAGCCTGACACGGTACAGAAAAGCAGGCATGCATTTGATAAGCAGAATTTCTCAATAGCATTTTTATCAGCGAATTCTGGAACCTGAAATTTTAGAGAAAGTATGCGTAGAGTGTTGAGGCATTCCCTTATTTCATTTCTCAACTTTATACGATTATGAAGTGTTCTTTCTTCATCTTCATTTTCCCATGGAATCTGCTTTAAACCTTCATTGGCAGCACTGAGACTAAGCAACAAGGTTTCAATTGATGTCATCAAATCAAGAGCCCTGGTCATGATCCTCATCACTTCTAATGAAATCAAAGAAGTCGGTAAGTGTGTATACAAATTCACAATACAGAACTTTAATTGCTTTCCGGAGAAATCAAATCTTTTCCATACGAATCGATCACAAGTCAAAAGTCCTTCCTTTCCCATGTTATCCTGCAAGTACAAACTGTATTGCGCTTCAGAGTCTTCAAGTAAACTTATCAATGAAGCTAAACTGTGTTTCCAGCCAGTTGATGGATGAAAGCTCTTCTCAAGTGTATCAGCACGATGATCAAGAAATACATGAAGAAGGCCATTCTGATCACCATCAACCTTCATTCTCTCCCGATTCCCAAACAGAATTATGTCTCCCATGCCATAAGTTTCATATCCAACTACATCGGCAACTGTACTCACGACACGAGCTGCAACTTCTAACGCTGCAATGTTAGTTGGAACACATGTAAGTGTTCTGCATTTCATTCTTAATAGTGAGTGTAATATGCAACTAGCTGTCTTTGTTTTCCCAGTTCCTGGAGGACCGTGTAATAATTTGACAGAATAAAGATGACAGCATCTGGCTGTGTGGATACAGCTTGAAACCGCAGCTTCTTGCGAGCTGTTTAAATTAAAAGACTGTAATGTTTCCCTTATGCAGGCAGAGGCAGCATCACTTTTTTTACGAGAAGAGCAGATAGTACAATTTTCACCATCCTGCATGAGATCAGTTATAAATGCAGTCAAGCTCAATATAGAAATGAATACAAAAAATAGATTTGCCATCTTCAAAGCTGGGGGTTACAAAAATGAGATTCTGAATCAAGAAACCAGAATCATAGTTCTTCTTACATTGAAATTATTTTGCAGCACTTTCTGAATAACGTTCATGTTCCTCCCTTCGAGTTCCAAGTGCAACGATCTCCATATTCGCAAATTTGTCGTCAGATTTATCAAATGAACAGCAAAGAGTGTTCCCTTGTTCAAGCCTTCTTCATCCACTATGGGCTTCGAAGACAGAATCGAGGGTGTCAAACGATTTCCCCTTTTCACGGCATGAACGAAAGCAACAAAATAGGATTGCTGGGTATTCCTTAAATCATCAATGCACTTCAGTTTCACATTTGTCAGGGCTATAAGATCCCCAACCCAAGGCACATATCCACCTCTGGTTTCTTCCACCGACATTTCGTAAAACAAGTCCTTAGGTAGCTTGTAATCCTTAGATTTTCTAACACGAAGTATTCTACAAGTTGGTGCTGCAGCCAGTGATTCTGTACTTGAAAGCAAATCAGCATGTGTTTCCACATGTAGGGGTGTAATGAATGCTTTCATGTAATGAGCTGTTGACATGAAGGAGTTTGGGATCTCCTCCACCTATTAGGGGACAATGTCAGAGTTCAGAATCATTCTCATGCTTGTAATCTGGCTAGCAGGAAATCTTGGTATGAATTTTTAAGAGCTTAATTTGCCAAACTTTTGAAGAAAATCTTGCAGTGGAAAAACCAACTGGTTTTGACAGAAATTTAAATCCAAAAGCTCTTAAAAGAACATAATGTTAGAAAATTTGTTCCAAGGGCCAAATTAAAATGGTTAAACTTAATTTAGTTAAGACTTTATTGAAAAAAAAATTTCAATAAGATTTTTTAAACAGAAATATTAACATGGTTTAAATAAATTATATATATTATATGTAAACTAGAAATTAATCTCAAACAGTACTTTAGTGTGTTCCTGTAGAATCTAAAACCCTTGATACGTCATCGAATAAATAAAAAAAATTTCTTATAATTTATATAATAAAAAATTAAAGAATCATAAATAAATATAAGCAAAGTGACCTTGGCTCTAGATACCGGCATGGACTTGGATCTCATGTT